AAAAAATATTTAAATATAAACATTAATTAGCAATTTTATACAATGAATATATTCTGTTCTAACATAAACAACTGAGCTTCGCATGTATTTCTGATTTTAAAAGCTAAATTTCTCGACTGTACGAATACTTTTTGATCATCCAAATATAATTTTTAATTTTCGTTTATTTTTCAGATGATATATTTTTTATAATTAATACACATCTTTTTGATATATATAATTTTAAGAAACATACAGTCTATTTTATTCTTTATGAATAAATTGTTAATTATCCATCAAAAAAGGATCGTCAAATCGACGTCAAACTAGTGTTGAAATTGAAATCATCGTATCGATATTCATTCGACATGAATTCGATGATTCATTTCTTGCTGGATGCTGGAAATTTACTTTTTAAAAATAAAGTTTTTTTTAAAAAACATTTTCTTTGTACGAATACTTTTAACACTCACTGTATATATCTCGAAGCTACTTAATTCTATCGACGTTTACACATTATGGATTTGTTTCTTAATTCTCCATCGATTGAAAAAAAAAATTAATTGAAATATGTCCATTTTTACAGAAGATACGGTAACAAATATGGAAAAGTCCCAGTATATATATATATATATCGATAAAAAAAAGTATGTATCGCTAGCGATATACATATATGTATATAGGGATATACATATATGTACATGATGAAAATTACACAACATATTTGAATTAAAATTCAACCAAGTAAATCTGTAAAAATTTAAAACGCTTTTAATTGTTCAATGTTAATCGCTATTTTAACCCTTCATTATTCATGCACATGGAATATCCAGGACACTCTAGCCTTATGCATATTCGCTAAATGTACGAATGCTATTTATATTCATTATATTTGGCTTTAGCCAAAAGTATGCACCTATATTTTTTTCATTTATCTGAAATTCTTTTATTATTGCATTAATTGTTATTAATTATTAGTATTATACAAAAATTTAAGGGATTTAAGGGATTTTTAAAACAATAATTCACTAGTATCTTAAATCAATTTTTTCGCTAAAAAGTTAAATAAAAATTAAATGGTTAGTAAATTATTTAATACTTTTAGCTAAAGTATTGTATTTAGCGCGAATTTACAATTTTAGAAAGAAAATTTGCATTTGTCTTTATATAAAGAATGTATAGAATATTATCAATTTCTATTTAAATGTGAATCATTAAAGAGAACAATGAAAATTGAGATATAATGTAAAATCAAAAATACGCCATACATGTAATTAATAATTACATTTAAAAAAATCATGCAAGTAATGTAGAATTAAACAAATATTACAACAAAGCGTAAAATGTACGATGTTCGTCAAAAGCACGAGTAACAATTGAATAATCCGTTTATATTTTTCATACGCGATAAGTATTTCGCGAACATGCGGTTGGTAATACGAATGACGCTCTGCGAACGGCGAGGAATGGGAAAGAAAGGAGGGGGGCGCGCTGCGCGGTGCGGTGGTTGATACGTCATCACTTTGGCATTCGCGCGGCGACCTTGGCAAGGGATAGCAGCGGTACTTGCTGGTACGAGTCGCTCCGTGCGTCGCATAATATTCTATAAAACTTAAACATTTTCTACGAATAAAAATTGATCACTGCTTATGATTTGCGACTCGTGAACGTGTCGAAGCGTCTACTATTCATCAAAGGTATACAGTTTACTATCACAAGCTCGAAATAAAAACATAGAAGTAATGATAATGAAAAATTACGAATTATCGCGTATTGGCGATATTTAGATTAATATATTGTATTCTTTAATGATCAAATCACGAGTAACAGCATGTCGAGAGCTTCGTACATCACTTTCTATTTTCGGGTTGAAAAAGTGATGCATGAATTTAAATTTATTGGAGCACGATTAAAAAAAATCAAAGGAAAATTGTGATATATCAATTATTCAGTATCCATTCATCCGGAACTAGATGCCTGATTTTTTTTTACGCAAACGTATCTAGAGTGTTTTTACATCTCAATTAAAATCGCTGTTATTAACAACATATTGCATACGATTATTTACGACAAGTTATTAGTATTTGAGAACTGTGGATATGATTTAATCATAACTTTCTAAAAAAAGTAAGAAGAAATCAAAGAAATATTTGAATAGAATAAAACCTAAAGTGGCTAGTATTTCTAAAAATAAAAATTTAATTGATATAACGCTTTTATATTGCGAATTTTCAATGGAAATGCACATTTAAATGTTTGTAAAGAATAATTACTAAAAAAAAAATGTTAAATAATCCATGCGAAATAACAATTCATGTGTGAATAATTTAAATCATTCATGTAAAAACACCCTAGGTGATTATTTCCGGATTAATAATGTATCATATCGACGGGATTTACAAGTTCAAAATGTATTGTGCGTTTGCAATACTCCAACGCACGATTTTGTATTTTCAGATGCTCCGTCACGTCTTAAGTTTTTATATAATTCGTAAATTCGCAAATGCAAACGCAGAATGAAGATTTGCGTTTGTTTTTTCATTGCATGCAGTGGTTTCGTTTGTATGTGTGTTTTGCGTATGATGATCGTTATTTATTTAAGTGTTACTTAATTTATTTAGGCTCAATTGCACCAATGTCATTTTGAGTTTAAGTGAGACTTAAAATTCTATCTGTCTCGTTTTAAAGTCAAAAAGAGATAGAAACAGAAAAAGTTTTAAGCTTTACTTAAAATCAAAATAATGTTGGCGCAATCGGATCTTAGGTGTGAATTCACTCGCGTGACGCGTCGTATCAGTATGAAGTTGTCGTCCCATCACTCACTAAATGGCGACACGACGAATAGATCGACTTCGAATTGTGTGACCTAGTGACGCTTCGCTTAAGTACAATCGTAAATAAAAATGTATATAAATAGCGAATAATTCTAGTATTCTCATTATTTGTTTGTGCAACACAAGCGCGTATCCTCGTCATTTTTGAAAACGAAGGAACAACGTAGAAGCGAAGTGAGCGCGAAACGGTTGACTTTGAGCTTTATGGCGTCATGATGCGTTCGCTCGGTGAATACTGTCATAAATTCGCAAGTGAGACGTAGATAGCGAATAAATCCCATGTTCTTACTATTCGTTATTTTGCTCAGCCCAAACGCGTATACCGGCAATTTCTGAAAACGCATTCGATCGAGGGCGAAAATATTCGCGAAAACGATGATTTCTCCTAATTCACATAGCGCGAATATTTATTTTTAACTCGTACTCGTGTCTCTTCTGTCGTAATACCGAGACATTAGTCGCCATTCTGAAACACATGTCGTTTGTCCGTTACAGATACAGTAATTTTCCGAATTGAAGCGAAGGGAGCAACAGGTGCAAGTCGCGGTGGCTGTCCGATTTCTAAACATTCGTCTCCGCTATTTTAGATTCATGACGATGCGTATCGCATGAAATAAGACATCGCGATAAAAGAGTACGTATGCAATAAATACCGAAAGGGTCGTCCGAAATATCACGCGATAATAATTACTTATTTTTACAAGTCAGTGTGAACGTTCTAACAAAGCAGTTATCCTGCTCGCCGAGCTATTAAATTATTGGTAAACTTCTTATAAATCTAATTAATCAAATTCAATCGTTCGGCGAGCAGGTTAACTGCTTTGTCGATCGATTTGAACACGGTCATGTTCAACAGAACGTTTATTTTATGACTGTTGGAAGTTCTTTTTGCTGATTGAATTATACTTTTAAATTTAGACGAATAGTTTCGAAGAGAATTTGCAATTGTTAAATAATTCTGTTAAACGCGGTCCACATTGCACATGCATCACACAAAAAAGTGAGATAATGTTAGAAAGAACGAGAAGTTTCATAAATTTAAAAAAAAGCTTGTTTATGACCAATATTCTCGTTTGAGTCGGCAGTATTTCTGATGTTAAATTCATAAAAAGTCACACAACAATTCGTGTTTCTTGCACATTTTAATTAGTATTAATTTCGAGAATGCCATGCAAAGTATCGCGCGATTACGTAATATGTCTTTAATTAATTCAAATATTTAGATTAATTTAACTGTATGTTTAGTGAATATTGCGTACCAGAAAATCGAGGAGAAACCTGATAATTTGAAGATAGGAATCAGAGAATTCTGAGAGGAGGAGGAGGCCTAGGAAGGCATGAGGCGATGGTGGAGCAACCCTAAGGTGAGTAATATTTTTTGTTTAGCACTTGGTACTCTTTTGGAATTAATTATTTATTTTCATGAAATAGCTTTGTCGTTATATTTCATAGAATTTTTAAGTATCAAATTAATTGATCTGATATATTCACAGATATCACAATTAAATTTTTTAATTTATAAGGTTTTACATAAATTCTATAATTAAAAATATTTTTTATGAAAGTTGCATAATTACTTTAATAAATTTCAATTTCAACTCTTTAAAACTTTTAGAATGAACCTTACTTTGAAGAATGAAATTTCTCTCTTAAAGATTGAAAATTGAGCTACTCTTTTTCGACTCGGCTCAATTTTCACTCTTTAAAAAATGAGATTCTACTCCAAAGAATTTCTTAAAGAGAGGAAAGAATTTCTTAAAGAGAATTTCTTAAATTAATAATATTGTAAAATTTAATAATTTTCTTGTTAATATACTAATACACGTAATAATAATTTTCTTGTTAACATATTAATTATTTTGAACGCTTGAAAATAATATTGTAATTTGGATATCTTTTTATATTTCAGATTAACATAGCTACAGTGAAGTTACAACTCCGCTGTTGCACATCGTATCTGTAAGTGATAAATTATCTTTTATTTTAAATCGAGATAATGGATCTATAAAAATATGAGTTGTTTATTGCATGTAATGCAAATTTAGATTTGCGTATTAATCAAATTTCATAGATCTGTTGTCTTAAAATGGATGGGTTTAAATAGATTAAAATTAATATTGAATTATGCTAGATAAATTATCAATTTATTATTAATAATTTATTTTTGATATAATGTATTTTTAATCTATTATGACTTTGTAATATAACAAAATAAAATAATAATAATTTCTATGTTTAATATTCTATACGAGTTCTTGTGTCGAAAATAAAAATTAATAATAATAAATCAATTAAAATATTACAAAGTATTCTGCAAAATATGTAAAAATTTTAATTTTTTACTATATTTAAAATCATTTTTTCTTCATGAAAAGTCTGTAGTTTTTTATCCAGCTTTAATTGCAAAATATTTCTTATTGCTTTTATTCATACTTACGAATTTAGTTGAGTGTTTAAAATTTATGAAAATTGACAAGTATGGATAAAAGCAACAATAAGAAATATTTTATCGAACTAAAGTTCGATAAAAAATTTAGACTTTTACAAAGAAGAAATTATTTCAAACATAGTATATAAAAAATTATAAATTATAAA